CTTTATCTTTATAAAAATATCTTTATCTTTATAAAGAATGACTATTGAGATGTTGTGTCGGTTTGAACCGAGCAAAACAAAATTCCTTTGGGGATTCCCGAATTTTAAATGGATGCCTTTGCTCAAAACGCTGCATCTTCCTGACATCAAACTGATTTTTGCTGTTTGGACACCACTGAAACTTTTCTTCCCCCAAAACAAGTTTTGAGTGATTGTTCCCAACTGGGAATTGGGAACTTTGGTGGTTCTCAGGAAGGAGTCCCACGGGCAGGGACAGCTCCCACCATCCCAGGGGATCCAACCCGGCCTTGGACACTCCCAGGGATCCGGGGGCAGCCACAGCTCCTCTGGGAAACCCATCCCAGGGCCTCCCCCCCCTCCCAGCCAGGAATTCCTTCCCAATATCCCCCCTAAATCCCCCTTTCCCAGTGGGAAGCCATTCCCTGTGTCCGTCCCTCCAGCCCTTGTTCCCAGTCCCTCTCCAGCTCTCCTGGAGCCCCTTCAGGCCCTGGAAGTGGCTCCAAGGTGTCCCTGGATCCTTCCCCTCTCCAGGCTCACACACACTCATCCCATCCCGTCCCACCCCCCTTTCCATGGGCAGGGACACCTCCCACCATCCCGGGCTGCTCCAAGCGCTGCCCAACCTGCCCTTGGACACTCCCAGGGGTGGGAACGGTCCCTGCTGCTCCCCGGGCACCCTCAGAGGGTGTAAAACCAGCCTGGGCTCTCCTCTCAGACCCAGCCTTGCAGAGCAGGGCTGGGCCTCGGCAAGCCCGGCCTGGGGGGATTCCAGCCCAGGAATCCCCGGGATGGGGGTTTGTCCCTCCCGGGATGGGGGTTTGTCCCTCCCGGGATGGGGGTTTGTCCCTCCCGGGATGGGGGTTTGTCCCTCCTGGGATTGGGGGTTTGTCCCTCCTGGGATGGGGGTTTGTCCCTCCCTGAGGGGTGGGAGGTGAGGAGCAGGGAGGGGATGGTGCAAAGGTTGGACCAGGGGCACCGACCTCCCAGACCTGCTCTGACCTCTCGCTGTTGCTCTCCCAGACCTTTCTCATCCTGTCCCTGTTGCTCTCCCAGACCTTTCTCATCCTGACCTTTTCTGCTCTCCCAGCCCTGTCTCACCTTGGCCTCTTCTGCTCTCCCAGACCTGCTCTAACCTGTCCTTGCTGCTCTCAGACCTTTCTCACCCCATCCTGGTTCCTCTCCCAGACCTTTCTCACCCTGGCCTTCTCTGCCCTCAAGACCTGCTCTCATCTCTCCTGCTGCTCTCCCAGACCTGCTCTCACCTGTCCCTGTTGCTCTCCAAAATCTTCTCTCACCCCGTCCTGGTTCCTCTCCCAGACCTGCTCTGACCTGTCCTTGCTGTTCTCCCAGACCTGTATCACCTGTCCTTGCTGCTCTTCAAAATCTTCTCTCAACCTGCCCTGGTTCCTCTTCCATCTCTCCTGTTCCTCTCCCACCCCATCTCACCTGTCCCAGTTCCATCCATCCTGTTCCATTCCCATCCCATCTCACCTGTCCCAGTTCCATCCATCCTGTTCCATTCCCATCCCATCTCACCTGTCCCAGTTCCATCCATCCTGTTCCATTCCCACCCCATCTCACCTGCCCCAGTTCCATTCCCATCTCCCCTGTCCTGGTTCCATTCCCATTCCCCTCTCCCCTGTCCCATTCCCATCCCATCTCCCCCGGTTCCATCCCCATTCCCGTCTCACCGGTGCCGGTTCCTCTCCCATCTCCCCTGTCCCATTCCCATCCCATCTCCCCCGGTTCCATCCCCATTCCCGTCTCACCGGTGCCGGTTCCTCTCCCATCTCCCCTGTCCCATTCCCATCCCATCTCCCCCAGTTCCATCTCCATTCCCGTCTCACCCATCCCATTCCCATTCCCATTCCCATTCCCATTCCCATCCCATCTCCCGCGGTTCCATCCCCATTCCCATCTCACCCGTCCCGTTCCCATTCCCATTCCCATTCCCATCCCATCTCCCCTGGTTCCATCCCCATTCCCGTCTCACCTGTCCCATTCCCATTCCCATTCCCATTCCCATTCCCATTCCCATCCCATCCCATCTCCCCCGGTTCCATCTCCATTCCCATCTCACCCATCCCGGTTCCTCTCCCATCTCCCCATTCCCACTCCCATCCCACCTCCCCCGGTTCCATCCCCATTCCCGTCTCACCGGTTCCATTCCCATTCCCATTCCCATTCCCATTCCCATCCCACCTCCCCCGGCTCCATCCCCATTCCCGTCTCACCCGTCCCGGTTCCATTCCCATTCCCATTCCCATTCCCATCTCCCCATTCCCATTCCCATTCCCATCCCACCTCCCCCGGTTCCATCCCCACTCCCGTCTCACCGGTGCTGGATCCTCTCCCATCTCCCCATTCCCATCCCACCTCCCGCGGCTCCATCCCCATTCCCGTCTCACCCATCCCAGTTCCTCTCTCATCTCCCCTGTCCCATTCCCATCCCATCTCCCCCAGCTCCATCCCCACTCCCGTCTCACCGGTGCCGGTTCCTCTCCCATCTCCCCATTCCCATTCCCATTCCCATTCCCATCCCACCTCCCCCAGCTCCATCCCCATTCCCGTCTCACCCGTCCCGGTTCCATTCCCATTCCCATTCCCATTCCCATCTCCCCATTCCCATTCCCATCCCACCTCCCCCGGTTCCATCCCCACTCCCGTCTCACCCATCCCATTCCCATTCCCGTTCCCATTCCCATTCCCATTCCCATTCCCATTCCCATCCCACCTCCCCCGGCTCCATCCCCACTCCCGTCTCAGCGGTGCCGGTTCCCCGCAGGTGTTCTGGGTGGGCCCGATCCTGGGGGCCTGCCTGGCGTCCCTGCTGTATTTCTACGTGCTGGTCCCGTACTGCATGGCCCTGTCCGACCGCCTGGCCATCCTCCGGGGCACCTACGAGCCCGAGGACGACTGGGAGGAGCAGCGCGAGGAGCGCAAGAAATCCATGGAGCTCACCCCGCCTTAGGGAATTCGGGGGGGCCCGGGGGGGGCTCGGCGGTGCTGGTCGGGGGCTGGAAAACCCCCCTGAGCTCGTCCCTCCCCAGCTGCCACATCCACGGGTTTTATCCACCACTTCCCAGAACCTTAAACCCACGTCTCCTTGAGCCCAAAGCCGGGCCTAAGGCAGGCGGGGGGGTGTAAATACCCCCCCTTCCCTCACGAGTGTGAGCGTAGACCCCCCTCCAGCCCCTTAGGGGCAGCCCCTAAGCCGGGCTTAATCCCTCCCTTGACTCCATAGACCCTCTTCCAGCCCCCTCAGCAGAGCCCAGCACCGGCCCCCGAGCCTGGGGCAGCCCCTAAGCCG